CAGCACCCGCACCCGCACCCCTGGCCGGCTCCCGGCGGGTACTTCCCAGCCGCGTACCCCGTGCCCGTCCCGCTGCCCGTGTACTACCCGCTGTACCAGCCGCCCCCGCCGGCGTACTACCCCTCGCCCTACCCTGGCCACGCACACCCGCCCCAAGCGCACCCGCCTCAGGCGCACCCGTCCCAGCCGTACCCGCAGCGTCCTCCGCGGGACGATGCATACGACGACGAGGACGACCCTCCGCCGCGCCGACGACGCCGACGCCGGCGGCGCCCCCGCAAGCGCACCAAGCTTGTGAACATCCACTACCACATCTACGAAACCCTCCCGGACGCCGACTGCCGCCCTCTACAGGACCAGTCGGGCGGCAGCACCGACCCGTGCTGCGAGTCTCATTGGGCGCGCACCCGTTGTCCGGACCCCTGCACCGAGTCGAAAAACTCCGACCCCCGCTCGGACAATCACTACCCTGACACGGACGATCACTATGCCTCTTCGGATATTCTCTACGGGCACTCGGATAAGCACTTCACGTCCTCGGATAATCACTACGCCCCCTCCGATAATCACTACGCTTCCTCGGATAATAATCACTACCCCCAATCGATCAGCAGCAGCAGCCCCCACTCCGCCAGTCACTTCCCCGAATCGAGTAGCCACCACCCTGGCTCAGATAACTACCACGCCCCCTCGGATAATCACTACGCCCCCTCGGACAATCACTACGCTCACTCGGATGATCACTACCCCAAACCGAACAGCCACTACTCCCAATCGAATGATCACAAGCCTCACTCGGAAAAGACCAACCCCCACTCGAACAGCCACTACTCCCACTCGGAAAATCACTACCCTCACTCGGATACGTCACCTTCGCTTAAAAGCGACCCCCACCCGGATGTTCGATGCCCCTACCCACCTCGACCACAACCCTTTCCAGTCGATGCTAATGCACCCCGTCGTCCTGCTTGCAGCACTCACACCATCATCCACGTCCCCACGCGCGTGCACACCGTCCACCACCACCACGTCAAGAAGATCAAGGTCCCCGTGTACGTGCAGCACAAGCACACGCACGTGCACCACTCCAAGCCCAAGAAGTCGACCCACGTCCGCTACCACCACGAGGACGACCACCACGACGAGGTCGAGGAGTACGAGGACGCCGACGTGCACTCGACCTCGTGGCACTCGCGGAAGGACGGGTCGGCCGAGGACGACCACCACGAGGACGCCTTCGAGCACTACGACGACCACCCGTACCTCGACAGCCTGGAGAACGGCAACGACTTCGAGGACAGTGACGGCCGTCACTACTGAGGGCCAGGATGGGGCCGCCCCCGCCGGGGCACACCACCGACACCCACCAAAGATAAAGGTGCGTAAAGCAGGAGAAGGTGGCGTAGCTCTGCCTCCCCGTCAGAGCGGGTGCTGCAGGCCATGGGAACCAATGGGAAGCCGACGGCCTGCCAATCAGGTGCAGCGCTAACGACGGAGCAGCCCGATTGAGCGATAATGCTACCCGATCCTCGTTAGCGCCGGCCTGGCGCGCCAGGGTGGGGCGGGGTGGAGCGGGGCGTACACACACTCGCCCCCTGCCCTGGCTGGGGAGGACGAGCTGAGCTTGGGAATGCTGCAGCGCAGCGACAGGTGCGGTTCGACGAGTTAACATGCAAAATATATAAATAACATGCCGTTGGGCAGCGGAATATGTCCGTATGATATTATGTTACATGTCATAAAATATGTAATTGTTGAAAGTAAAAACTCTGCTGAATGGCGGCAAACACGATGCTGAATCGAGCGGCCATAAAATGCTGATTGTTGTGGCGGTTCGGTTCCGTTGGTTGAAGGCTGTTGATGGTTCCGGTTGCCAACCCCACGGCCCCCAACAACATCACCACGACCTCTCTTTATCATTCGTCGCCGTGAGTTTGCACAAACACTCCCCCTGTGCCCCCTTCCCCCCGAATGCGCGCTAAATCCCTGCACCGTCATCTCATTTGCATAGCCGTCGCTATGACGTTCAAAACAGAAGAAGGTTGAAAACACTCCGGCGCAGAGACGCGCATCCTCGGGGCTGCGTTCTCCTTTTCTTTGGAGGGAGATAAACAACACCCCCAACCTACCCCTATTGCAGCTGTCGCGTCGGACGGTCTCGGCTCGTCCTGAGGGGATCGGACGCCTCGGCGCAGCAAGGAGAACATCTGCAGTGATCGAAAACGCTCCGGCAGGACTCTCATCAGGAAACCCAAACAAACTAGGGCCCTTCTTCCGCCCCCCTCCTCCACATTCCCTTGTCCCTTCACCTTTTCTCATCCCATAAAGAAATGTAAACAGACGGCGGAAACCGCACTACCAACACAACACGCACCACCCACCGTGCCGCAGAAACAAAACGGAAACACTAGAAACACTAGTTCATTATTTTACTTTTTTAAAGACGCACCCCTCATTAGAACAACAACAGCGCGTAATGAATACTTGCTCTGGGGCGAACAGGAAGCACGGGGAAGGAGGGGCGGGTCAAGGAAGAGGGTTGGAATGGAATAAGGGGGAGGTCCGCCCCGCGTGAACACGCCGTACGGCAGCACACAAAAAAAATGTATACATACAAAAGTGAAATAAATAATAGAAAATACCAGCTATAAGGGGAGAACAATTTATGCGAGAAGGACGACGGACGCCGCCCCATCGCGCGTGCTGGGATGAATAAGTGGCAAGAAAGGAAAGGGGAAGGGGAATAAGAAAGGAGGAGGGGAGGGG